TGTGCCGAATTGGGCGTGCGGGGCGCACGCGGGCGGCAGCACTGGGGCCTTCGGCGCGGCTCCTTATGGGGCCACGAAACGTGTGAGGGGTGTGCCGAATTGGGTGTGGGTGACGCATGCGGGCGGCAGCACTGAAGCCTTTGGTGGGGCCCCCTATGGGGCCACGAAACGCGCGAGGGGTGTGCCGAATGTAGATGCGGACAACACATTACCAAATATTGCTGAATGCGTCCGCCACGGGCTGGGCCCAACGCTGGCGGTCGAGGCGGCGTCGCCGTCCGCGTCGATCACGCTCGTGATGTCGTGAAGTTTCTCGCCTGTCCACGCCGGCCTTCCCACCGCAGCGCGTATCTCCCGGAGGACCGTCAGCCAACGCTTGCGGCCCTCCCAGAGCAGCCTCTGGAGCCAGTTGCGTTGAACTGCACTGCCTGCAGACTTGAACTGACGCCGCAACGACTTGATGGTCACAGGCTCACGCTTCCGGCGCCTTTGAGCACACGTGGCTGGGTCGTCGAGCTGGCGTTGCAACTGCCTTGCGCGGGCTAAGAAATCCTCGACGCTCGAACAAGAGTCGATCTCAGCAAAATTCCCCAAAGCCCACATGGCAGCAGCAGCCTTGTCTGAGCACCCCCCCGCGCTGCGCTGAAACTGCGGCCGCCTCGCACACTTGACCTTCAAGTCGGCGCACACGGCAGCACGGTCTGTCGGCAAAGTCGCCCACGCCGCGGCAGTGTCCACTACGACGCCGGCGGAGGCGCAATACTCCAGCAGAGACGGCAAGCCGCGCCGCCGCCCGCGCCGCGCACGAGCGATGGGAACCTGCATGCACTGGAGCAGCCAGTCCCCAGGCAGGCCCCCGCACACAGCGCTCGACACATGTATCTCCACGAAGACGCCGGCAAAGAAAGTTTCAAGTTGATGGCGTTCTTCGGAGTGTTTGCTGAGTCCATGCGGCGAGTCTTGGAAAGGGTCTGCGGCTAGAGTAGGAAGAATAAATCCCCCATGAACACGCACGGCCTTCTTCTGGTACTGCTATTGTACAGCATCGCTATATCAAACACGCTGGCATGCGCGTCGTCACCTGGCGCAGCACGCACGAAGATGATGTCCAAACTATCGCGCAGTGAGGTCCGAAAATTTAGGCGAGAAGCCCGGACTTCATGCTTGACACCAACCAAATGTGGAACCCAAAAACTACGCGCTGAAATTGAATATGCGGAACTGCCTTCCCCTGGCCAACGGCGCATAAGAAGATGACGGTCGAAGTCCAGGGCGAAAATGGCATTGAGATGCGCGTCGCACTCTGGAAGAAAAACGACTGAGGATTGGCCGACACTCCCTTCCATCGCTGATAGCATAGCGTCTACTCCAACCGCATCTCCCAACAGTCAAGCTATATCGAAAGTGAAAGCACGAAACCCCACAGCGGGGCTCCCGTCACTGTCCCTCCGCACAAGCTTTGGCCATGTGCATTACCTCTTCAGTAAGGAATTCGGATGCCCTCGAACACCTGACCCATGCACCATCCTTGGGATAACCGACGATCTGGGAATCGACCCGAACAGTCCGAGTCGGCAGGCGCTTCTCCACCGCCCTTTGGCCCTCCGCCCTGTCCTTCTCGCTGTTATCCAAGAAGTCGTGGATGCGATGAACCATGCGGATCGGCCTGTTCTCCGCGGAGGCGCGCTTCCTGTCGAACCAAACAAGCATGTCGCCATACCTCTTCCCCAAAGCCTTCACCTTCAGCTTGGCCTCCTCGAGGGTTCCGGGAGCGTCGAACAAAATCTCGCACGCTGACCCGCCTTCGCGGCAAATCGCAGCCATCGCCATGATCTTGTCGGGCTGGAGGCCCATCGTGCGCAGCAGCTCGCTGCACCTCCCCTCGAGCTGCTCTGCCGCCGTATCCCAGCCAAGATTTCCCACGACGGCAGCGCGATCTGCTCGGGGCGCCGGGGATTGTGACGCACGGAGAGCAGCGTCCTCGACCTGTTGCTTCACGTCGGCGATGTCCATCGCCAAGGTGGCCGTCGCCTCCCCAGACACACCCCGTTCTTCAAGTCTCTGGATGCGCTGCTCCTGTGCGTCCAGCCTCGTCTGGGGCGCAGCAGTCCTCTCTGCGCACTCCTTCTCCGTCTTCACGATCCGCTCTTCCGCTGCGTCACCCATCGCGGTCAACGCTGCCGAAAGACCGGCCTTGACCCACTCACGCAAGGCTGGCGTTGGGGCGGGAAGAGATTCCCCGTCCGAGCCCGCGCCCCTATCCTTCTTCCGGGGAGGAAAGGCAGGGCTCCGAGAAGAGAAAAACTTGCGATGATGGCGACGATTCTGGCGATGATGATGATGATGACGACGACGCTGATGATTGCGATGATGACGACGAGCATGCCAGGTCTGGACGCCGCGGCCAGGACAAACTTTTTAGAGAAGCTGACGGCGGCGATGGCAAGATTCGGCGGCATCGACTCCCAGAGAGCACGGGTCACTCGCGGCAGCACAGACGTACATTGTGCAACACAAACATCATGGCCGAAGGCCGCCAAGCACAATCCACGGGCCTGAGACAACTCCTCGACAACTTGAACGATCGAGTCTGCCACTAACTCCGAAGCTCGAGCGGGAACACGGGAAGCCTTGAGTCTGCACGCGATGCCTTTAGCCGCGCGGCCATCAAAACGCAAGCGCGGCCGCCCCGAATGCGAGCACACAAACGAAGTACTGTGACACACGCGCGCGAGACGACGCATGCTCGAACAGCGCCAGCAAGCCACGCGCGTGGACGAGCGAGCGCACCGAGTTGGCAAGGGCCCAACTGAACGTCATCGAAAGATGGGTGGTTCATCAACCGAGCTAACTGGGGCACTCCAGATCACACTAATAAGCGGGCACTCGAAACAGACAGGGGCGCGGTGCGTGATGCACGCACTGATAAGCTGTATAGCGGCACATAACTCTACATTAGCACAGAGGAGAGACTGCAAAGCGCTGACCTCGGAAGCTCGGCCAAGCCGGCCCCACGGATCGGCCGCCGACCGACTTGGCCGATGACGAACCTGGCACCAGGTTCCCCTTGGCAGAGACAGCAAGAGAGAGCCGACTGCAGACGATCGAACCACCCGAGAATTCGATCGACAACAACCCGCTGAGAATGACCGAGGCCCGCATTCGGCCCCGCCCCTAACCTAGGACAACCCAGACCGCGACTGCGCAGCGCTTTGCACATGGGGGCCCCGCGAGGCCCAACCACAGGCAAAACGAGCCGCCCACGGATAGAAGCCGAGGCATGGGCGCGCCGAAACACGGCCTTCAGGCGAGACGCTAGCGCAAGGTCAGAACAGGCGCCTGCCTCACGGCCCGCGGGATGGCGGGCAAAGGTAGAAGCGGGACGGGCAAAAGGAATTCGCCTCTGACGAAAGTCAGCGCGATCAATTCCGCCACCCACTCGAACTTTTTGGATCCGGGGGTCGAGAGCGAGCCTCTCCCGGTCGAAGCTACGCGGGCCGCGCACAGCTGTAATTAACAGGGAAGGAAAACAGAAGGAGGGGCCTCACATCAATGCCAAGAGAGGGCGAAGCCCTAAGATCAGGCGGTGCCGAAAGCGAAGTGCATGCAAAGGAACGCTTTGAACAGGAACCCCGAGGCGAAGTACCGGGAGGCAAAAGCTGGCGGCGGTGCCGCCAGCGGCGCACCATGCACACCAGACCCATAAACTGCGGGAGAGGACGTGCCGCGCATCCAGGGCGACGCCCGAGAGGATGAAACCAGCCACTCGAACACCTGATTGCCGGACTGCGCAACCTCTGGCGGCAGGTCCCCGATTCTCCGCTGCATCCGAGTGCGCTTGCCGTATCTCCCCAATGATTTGTCCGTCGCCCATCGACCCCTCTCTTTCACTTCCGCCATCGATCGAGACCCCGCGAGCAAGTCGTGAGAGGTACCCCCATGGCGCGGGGCGCACAAAGAGGGGGGCTCCATCTGCAGGCCCAGCTCCATCAGCCCCTGGGCGAACATGGCGCGAACGTCGGCGGGCCTGAAATTCCAGAGGCTGGCGCACTCGCCCCCGCTGGCGCTGAAGGCGAGCAGCACGGGCAACAGCTCGGGGGCGCCCACCAGGACCGACTCGTCGGTCACTCCAGTCTTCCCAGGGCGGCCCGACTTCGCATCGTTCACAATGAGCCCCCACAAGCTGAACCCCGCCCCCGCGATCGGATGCACCAGCGACCCCATCCGCAGGCGGTAGGCCTCGGACGGCCTCAGGTACGCGTGAAACACCAGCGCCACTAACACCGCCATGCTGGGCAGGTTGCACGAGATCAGCCATCCCGCCACCGCCGTGGCTGCAGCCCGCGGCAGAGGGAGCCGCATCTGCGGCGGCGCCAGCCTGCGCCGGCCGCCCAGGGCGCGGGCCGCCCGCAGCAGCGGGCGCTTGCCCCCCAGCAGGTGGGGCAGGAAGTGCCTGAGAGCCGCCACCGACATCCTGCCCGTCGCGGAGTCGAACCCGTCCGGGGCGAGGTCGGTGAGGAACGCCACCACCCACGCCCAGCTGGCTGGAGCTGCTGAAGTCCAGTCCGCGCCACGTCACCCACTGCAGGAACCTCGCGGCGTGCCCGCGGCAGCGCTCCCGCGTCGCGTCCGCGACAGCTAACATCTCCAAAAAGCTGACCACGCCCTCTGCCAACCGCACAGGGCGAGGGTGGGCCGCCCCACGGGCGGCCTGGATCGTCATGGACCGCTGCCTTTCCGCCCGCTGCTTCCGGCGGCGCCGCGGTCGCCTCCACGAAGCTTTCACCGTGGAAGAAGCCACGACGAGACGGCCGATCGGCCACGTTCAACTCCGAGGGCAGCCAGCACACATAGCAGCGGACGTTGACTGCGAGGGCGAGAGCTGGGACCTTCCGCAAAGGTCGGCGAAGGACGGGTTTACGACCTCGCCCTTTCCCAGCCGCCAGAGCCAAAGGAAGGTCATCGACGAGGAACAGATGGCGATGACGGTGGAAGGACACGTCGCGAGAGGCGCGCCGCACGGCGTCGCGCAACGCCTCACCCTCGAGCTCCAAGGTGCTCTTGCGGGGGCCCCAGTGCCTCCTCGAGATGACTGCGACCCATTCAGAGCCCTTCATGATCTCTTCGGGGATCTCCAAGAAGCCATTGACGGAGACCTCGGGGTTGATCGACTCGCACTCGTTCACGCCTACGGCCTCCAAGAAGTCCTCCTCCAAGCGGGGCCCGCCCAGACCCAAGGCGTTGGCCCTGGCCGCCACGGCTGAAGTGCACCTGCACCTCCACCTCTCCGTCAACCCCCCGATCCTGGCCACCCGGGGCCCCTCCAGCTCCCGCGCGCAGACGCCGACCCCAATAGGAGACGCATCAGACGCCGAGACTCGCGAGCCCCACGGGGGACCCAAGTGCGAGGACCACAGAGGCAAAGTACTTGCAACGCACCAGAGCTCGAATCTCACAGAGTTCCACAGGGGCCTGACGTCGGGGTCCTTGACGGCCTTGAAGGCGTAGACGGAGGAGAGGGTGGACAGGGCCTCTCTCTTGCAAATCATGGCCCAGGTGACGTGCCCCAGCAAGACCTCCAGCAACCGAGGCGAGGCAGCCCCCCGCCGCAGCACCGCCAGGATCGCCCGGCGCAAGCGGAGGAGGCTGGACGGCTTCACACAAACCGCGCCTCTCCCGCCGTCCACCTCCAGGCCTGTGAAGATCGTCTTCGGCGAAGCCTGATCGGTGGAATGTACAGGTAAACCCCAACACCCCAGCGTTCGAGGGATATGATTGCTCTTGGCTGCGACTGTGGCAACGTCGCAACCCATCACGGCGAATTTATCAACATACTCCGCGGCGGCCACACACGACGTTGTCTGCAGCACAGGACTAGGTCGCCCATCCTCGATCAAACTCCCGTCTCCAAACCCATCATCCACCAAGCCTCTGCGCATGATACTTTGACAGAACAGCAGTGACCAACTCCATGTCATCGGCAACACACGAACCATGGGCTGTAGATGGCAGTCACTAGAGATCGCCGACCCCTCAATGTGCTTGATACCAATCAGCTGATTTGAAATGGTGGGCAGAGTAAAACAAGCCTCCATTCCCTTGGGCACTGGCATGCGCTAGAATGCGCACTGGATGTCTCCCTGGGCAAGAACGACGGGCTGACGCGACTCGAGAGCGGACCAAGCCGCAGCCCCTGGAAGTGCCGTCTCGGGTGGGGCCTCGAACTCCTCGTTCGCAACGCTGGTGTCGAAGACGAGTCTCAAAGTACCCATGCCAGCCTTCTCAACAAAAAAAACCCAAAATGCATGGATCAGCAGCCTTAGCGACACGGAAACTGATCATCCCACCCTCAAGCAACTTCCCCACGAAACCAATATAGGCGCGGGGGTTGTTGGCCAAAATCGGGTCCACGCACGGCCGCTGCGGCACTGTCGCAGCGCGGGCAGAAGATGCAGACGTCTCCTCTGAACATAGTCCGTCTCCATCCCAACAAGCATTCACGATCAGCCTGATCCACCAGCTCTGCGACCTCCACGGGCGCCGTAGACATGTCAGGCCAGGACACAAGGTCCTCGACGTAGGCCTGGACGCGCTGGGACCCCGCAGAATCACCAGGCGCCGATGCGAGCAGCTCTGCGAGGGCTGCTTCGCCAGAAAGTCGATCCTCAAGATAGTCAGGAGGAAGAGGACAATCGCGATAGGCCTGGCTGACGCGGTCTACCGCGCTCGCCTGGGCTGCTGATGCCGCCAGCCCTGGGGGCGCAGCCACACCCGCGCCGTGGCCGCTCATCTGGTTCAGCGCTGAGATGCCGTCGTTGGCCCAGCGCCCCCAGGCGGCCCCGCGCCGGGCGCGCTGCCGCCCTCGCCGGTCGCGGCAAGCGGCTGCGCGCTCCTCCAGCGCAAGCGGCGGCAAGGGAAATTCATCCCACTGGCGCGCTCCAGGCACCATCGCAGGCAGCAGCGCGAGCAAAAGCAGGTGCGCCGCGGCTGAGTAAAAGCGGCGGGGGCCGACGCACACCACGAAAATGCAGGGGTCGCACAGGCGGCACCGAAGCGCCTGCACCCGCCTGGGAGAAGCTTCTGAGGGCCCATGCGCGCGCCGCCCGCTCCTCGCGGGCTTTGCGCTTTTCCTTGGCCACAGCAGCCTCTGCCTTCAGCTGCTCCGCAATGAACTCCGCGAGCGCTGGCGCGATGCAAAGGTTCCTCTTGCTCGCCGCCACGCCCATGTAGTGCTCGGCCTCCGAAGCAAGCAGGCTCTCGCTCGCCCCGACGCCCTCCCCCTTGTCTTTCTTCTCCTCGGCGGCCACCTGCGCCGACACGGTGTCCTAATAGTGGCGTCCCTCGATGAGCTGGGTCTGGCGGCACGCCATCTCGAACGCCGCCAACTCCGCGGCGTTGATCTGGTCGTAGCAGGTGGCCATCTCCAGCAGCCTGCAGTTCAAATAATGCTGCTGGCAGATGGCGCCCGAGTCCCGCAATCGAGCCTCGGCCTTCCACTTCGAGTGCCACGCGAGCGGACCCCCTGCGTTCTGGCGCATGTGGTCAAGGCACCACTGAATAGTCCTGGGACCCTTGATCGGCCAGTCGTCCCTCGGCGCGGCGGTCGAGTCCCTCGCGGCTGCGGCGAAGTCGAGCTGGCGACGTCCCAGCGGATCCAGGGCCAAGGGGAACACACGGCACTCCGCCGCCGCGGGGGGAGCCGCCGCCACCAGTGCCCCAGCAGCCGCAGCGCCGCCCCGGCCACCGCCAGCCCCCGCGCCTCCCCCTCCGCCAAAGGGCGGCAGCGGCACGCCCAGCGCCGCCGCCAACGCGCCAGCGCCGCCTGGCCCCGCGGCCGCGCCGTCGCCTCCAGCGTCGCCACCAGCAGCGGCCGCGCCGGCTCCGCCAGCCGCCACCGCGGAGGCCATCACGGCTGCGCCGACGGGGTCGTCAAACGCCATCGCCTGGGGCACCCAGGCAGCTCCCGCCCCAGCGCCTCCAGCCAGAGCGAAAGGCGAGGGCGGCAGGGCGGCGCCCAGCAGCAGCGCGCCGTCGCGCAGGTAGCCCCACAGCTCCGCCGCCGAAGGCGCACCGCGGAAACGGTATACGTTGGCCTCCGCCACGCCATACAAAGGAGGCCCGAGCCCGCGCAGCGGCCTCACCTCCCTCCTCGCACTCGGCGTTGACCACAACCGTCTCCAAGTACACGTCCCCGTCAACTGTCACGACGACCCGCCTGCGTGGGGGGCACATCGAACAGCGTGATCCTCTCGTGGAACACCAGCGGCCCGCCGACGCGATAACGAATCGCATGCACACCACTTGCATGCGGCAGGCTGGATCGCTGCCCGAGCCTGCCGCGCTGCAAGCACCTGGATCTCTTCGGCCGAGGCGACCGAGGCCGTGCTCCCAACTGCAGACGCTGTGCCGCGTCGACTTCTGAACAGACTCCCGACCAGCCGCTTGCAGCTGAAAAAAGCGGGCAGCACGAACGAACCGATCAGCGTCCCTGGCAAGAAAGTCACGGCGTGACTGCACCAGCAGCTGACCAAGTGCACGACGCTGGCCCTTCCGACGCCGGGGCACGAGAGACTGTAGGTGGGCGCGCACTCACAGGCGCAGGGAGGGCAGGCGGGCGGCGCGGCCGAGGTCGCCGACCACACCACAAAGGCCTGCGAAACCCCGCGCGCGACCTTCGCTAGGAAGCGCGTGGCGGCACACTGCGTGCCCCTCAAAAGCTTGAGCACAACGGTTGCGGTCGTGCGGCCGCTCATCCCCTTCTCCAGCACACACCACACTACAGTTGATACTATGATGATATGATGATGATGATGATGATGATGATGATGATGATGATGATGATGATGATGATGATGATGATGATGATGATGATGATTATGATGATGATGATGATGATGATGATCATGATCATGATGGTGATGGTGATGGTGATGGTGATGGTGATGGTGATGGTGATGATGATGATGATGATGATGATGATGATGATGATGATGATGATGATGATCATGAGGGTAGTGGTGATGTTAATGATGGTGGTGATGATGGTGATAATGATGGTGATGATGCTGGTGATGGTGGTGTGGTAGTGATGCGATGGTGATGCAATTGAGATGGTTACGGCCCATCGTTGAGATGGTGGGCGAAAGAACGACCACTAAATGTAACGCATGAGAGGCTGCTCAAATGTTAAAAAAAAACCCTGCCTGCTATCCACCACTCTTGACAAATCTGGAACTACCACCACAAACGTAGTGGTATCCCTAGTGCCTTGGGGGTCAAAATGGGAAGTCCAGCCTACATGGCGCTGGCCTGCAACTATGCCACGGGAAACCGCCAACGCAAGGAGTTCAGGTGCTTCTGAAGGCGGATCCACCAACTGATGCACGAAGATGCGCGAGGTCTAGTCCACTGGATCCTGGGGATGTCTCTGAACCGCATGACCCGTATAAGGGGTCTAGCCCACTGGATCCTGGGGATGTCTCTGAACCGCATGGCCCGTGTAATGTGGAATTCGTCTGCTGTGTCCTCGAGTCGTTTCAGATGGCTAGGGATGCCTGCCACCGTGCCTGCACGATGTGAGCGTGTTGGAATGCCAGGTGCTGGTTTGTAGGGGTCCTATATTGTCACAAGCCCCCCCCCCAACTAGCAGACTGTTGCTGCGTGCATATACACCCCCATCCCGAAGCCACTACCCATCTTTGCAAAAACCCATGGGTCCACTCCAGGCTTCCAAGACGGCCCAGGCAGGCAACCAGGACAACCGAGATTGCCAGATATGCGTCGAAGACAAGTCAAAGTGGCCCTAAGCGGCCCAACATGATCTCAAGACTGCCCGAGGTCCCCCCAAGAGAGCCCAACAGAGCCAAACAAAAACCCAACAGGGTGCGAAGAAGCTAGATTCCGCCGCGGCCCCATCGCAGGCTTGGAGGTGCAAGTCGTCAGCTTCGGGGAGCGCACCTCCCGGATCCGCCCCCATCGAAATCAACGTGGAGCCGCCCCCGCTGGCGGTCCTGCTGGAATGCCTGGAGCCGCGGCGTCTGGCGAGTGGTGGGGGCAGTAGGGGGCAGCAGTGGGCAGTGGCAAAGAAGTGGAGGCGTCGCCGCTTTGTGATATTTGGCCGCCGTCCTTCTCCACCCTCTGCTCAAGGTTATCGCGTTCGGCGGGTGGTGTGCGCACCACGGAGACTTCCTCCATGCCCCCTCACCTACACCAGATCGTCATCGTCATCATCATCATCATCATCATCATCATCATCATCATCATCATCAGCATCGCCATCATCAGCAGCAGCAGCATCAGCATAATCATCATCAGCATCAGCATCAGCAGCAGCATCATCAGCATCATCATCAGCAGCAGCATCACCAGCATCATCATCATCATCATCATCATCATCATCATCATCAACATCATACCACCACCACCACCACCACCATCATCACCATCAGTATCGCCATCATCACAACCACCACCACCACCATCATCACCATCATCAGCATCATCATCATCAGCATCGAAACCATTATCCTCGTCAACATCATGATCGTCAGTAGCAGCTGCATCGTCATCGTCATCAGCATCATCATGCGTGTCATCATCATCATCATCCTCATCATCATCATCAGCAGCATCGTCATCATCATCATGATCATCAGCAGCAGCATTATCGTCATTATCATCGTTATCATAATCACCACCGTCACCACCTCTACCACCACCACCATCATCACCATAATAATCATCGTCAACATCAGCATCACCAACATCAACATCATCATCACCAACATCATCATCATCATCATCATCAGTATCATCGTCATCATCAGCATCGTCATCATCATCATCACAATCAACATCCTCGTCAACATCATCATCATCATCATCAGTATCATCAGCATCATCATCATCATCATCATCATCATCATCATCAGCACCACCACCATCATCATCAGCATCATCAGCATCATCAGCATCGTCATCATGCGCACCGTCACCAGCAGCACTCGTCAGAAGCGTCGTCATCAGCAGCATCAACACCATCATGGCAATCATTGACATCGCCAGCATCAGCATCGTCGTCATCATCACCAGCAGCAGCATCAGCATCAACAGAATCATTAGCACAGCAGCATCATCATCATCATCATCATCATCGTCATCAGTATCATCATCATCGTCATCGTTATCGTCATTATCATCATCTTCATAGTCATTTCCATCTTCATCATTGTCATCATCAGCAGCATCAGCATCACCACAATCATTACAACAATCAACATCAACGCAATCAGCATCATCATCAGCATCAGTATGACCATCATGCTCACCCTCATCGCCATCATCATCCTCAACAACATCCTCATCAGCATCATCAGCATGATCAGTATCATGATCATCATCGTCGTCATCGTCATGAGCATCATGAGTACCAGTAACATTATCATCGTCATCATCTTCAGTAGCATCAGCATCATCGTCAGCATCATCCTCGTCATCATCATCATCATCATCATCATCAGCATCATGATCTGAATCATCATCATCCCCATCATCATCATCATCATCATCAGCATCATTGTCATTATGATCGGCATCATCATCATTATCATCATGATAATGACCATCATCGCCATCGCCATCATCAGCATCATCAGTATCATCATTATTATCATCATCCGCAGCCAGTACCATCAACATCATCATGAGCATCGACATTATCATCATCATAATCGGCATCATCATCAACATCATCATCACCAACATCAGCATCAGCATCCCTAGCATTATCGTTATCAGAGTCATCGTTATCGGCATCATCATCATCCTCATCATCATCAACATCAGCATCCTCCTCCTCATCATCATGAACAACATCATCATCATCAACATCATCGTCAGCATCGCCACCCTCATCATCGCCATCCTCATCATCAGCAGCATCACCAGCCCCATCATCATCAGCATCAGCATCATCAGCATCAGCAGCAGCATCACCATCATCATCAGCATCATCATCATTTTCACCATCATCATGACCATCATCTTCATCGCAAGCATCCTCGTCGTCGTGCTCGTCGCAGCGTCCCTGCATTCCAGCCCTCGAGAGATCCACCCCCAGGGCCTGCGCGGCCGGGAAGGATGTCGGGGCGGACCGAGGTCGTCATGGCGAGAACTCCCAGGAGGAGGCCCACAAAAGGCCAGAAGACGTCGTCGTCGTCGTCTTCGTCATCGTCGTCGTCGGCGGCGGCGGCGCCACCACGGCTGGACCCGCCTCGAGAATCTCGACCATTGATCCTCGAGGCGGATCCAGCCGTGGTGGCGAGAAAGCCCCAGGGAGGCCCACAGAGGCCGCCAGCAGACGTCCAGAACATTCGAACCTCGCATGGATGGTCGCAGGCGCGCTCGTCGCAGGCCCGTCAGTTCATGCCCCCCTCCTCCTTGCTCCCTCCTTTACCATCGTTCGAACGTCCATTCCCCGTGCACGTCTTGACTTCGTGCGTGCTTTTATTCATCGACGATGCTCCTCGATGGTCCCCACCGAGACAGAAACCCACGTCCGAGCAATGCCAAGCTCCACCCTCCTTGCATGCATCGCCGCAGGCGCGCTGCCCAGAGCTTTTGACCGGCCGGCGGAGGGGCTGCTGCAGTCTCGGCGGCTCGACGGCAGAGTCTCGCGGACGTCGGCGACTGCACCTGCGCGTTCGCCCGACCCTCCCCCCTTATGCCCTCTCCAACTCCCTCCTCCTCCCTCCTGCTCCCTCCACCTCCGCCTCCCTCCTCCTTCTCCCTCCTCCTCCCTCCACCTGTTCGAGCCATCTTGGCTCAAGTCCGTAGCGTTTCGCTCAGGGCTTGACATGCTGGCGTGGGGGAGGTGCGGCGTGTCCCGCAAGTGGCTGCCCTGGCGCGAGGCACTTGTTTCTCTTTGTGCACACGCCTGGATACTGCAAGCGGGCTGCCCGCCAGTCACCAGCACAATCTTCTCGGTCACCTTTACGGGAAGCCCATAGCACCTTTTTTCTGCTGCGTCGCCGAATGGTCACAAGCAGAAGCGGCAAGCATTGGCCAAGCCTTGGTACTGAAGGCACTGCTGGACTCATCAGACCGGGGACAGGTGGTGGAATCGCGCAGACCAGGACAAGTGTTCGTTGCGCAAGCAGCCCAAGTCGACGGCTTTTGCTAGCAACAAAATTCCTGACAGTCCCTCGTTCTCGTCGCCCAAGGCTGCACCCAAGGCTGATCCCAAGCTCACGGCCGAAGCAGGCTTCAGCAGCAGCAGCGGCTGCAGCAGCAGCAGGAAGCCCAGCAGGCCGAGCAGGAAGCCAAGGCAGCTGAGGAAGCTGCTACGCAGGAGAGTTCTACGAAGGCGGCGGGGCAGTGGACGAGCTGGGAGCAGGCTGTTCCCTCGGATGCAGATGACCCCGAGGTTTTGCATGAGATCCTACGTTCGGTCCAGCAGGAGGTCCCCGATGATGAGGACGAGTTGCGGGAAGCTGCGAAGCCGACCGGCGCTGTGCTGGCCCCGTGTGCCAAGCGGCTCGACGGCGCAGCCTTGCAGTATCTTTGCGTTCGTGCGTGAGCCATCCTGTCAGCATCACGACACGAATTGCCATTGTCAACACTACATCGTTCTATACATTGGCGCAGATGTTTGAGTCGGATGCTCCTGTTCTGGGGGACGAGCAGCCTATCATACGCTTGCAGGCATCTCACATCGGAGTGGTAATGTTATCGTACAATGCGTTGGCGACACGTGTGCCGTGACGGTCCTTCGCACTACCCCATCCTGCAGGCATGCCGACAGATCGCAACAGCGGCTGATCAACTGATGGATGCCGCCCTGCCCTTCACACGCCCGCTGCAGACACCTACAGGAGGTCACACCATCCCGCCGTTCCTTCAGTCCCACCTAGTAGGATTGCGATTCCAACGCCGACTCCCGACTGCCTGGGAACTAGGGATGACCCCACTCGACTACTACTTCTGCTTACCAACGGTTCTGGATCACTAATTACCATGCGTGGAGCGGTTTCTTCTCGGCAGCGAGTTACGTGTTCTTGAAAGCAGCGACCTATGTTGTGCAGCACTCCACGGGACAAGATTCAGCTTGGCACTATGCCAACATTTCCAGGGGAATAAAATCAGCCTGGGACCGACGGCAGTTTGCAGAAGCCTACGCTACATGGCGTCGGATCGGCGCAGGGTCTAGACGACGACGCATGACGCGCGCCACCCCTGCTCTGCGAGATGTCAGTGGCCAGGCATTGGTCTCCGAAAAAGCTGTGGCACAGCGGTGGCAACAACATTTTGCCGCCTTAGAGCTCGCCGCTACGATGCCCATGGAGGATCTTCCGCATATCGCTGCATACTTCGCCCGACAGCCCTATCAGGGTATGCCCAGTCAGCCAGTGCAGTTGTCCTCCGTGCCCTCTTTTGCTGACTTTCAGTGGCCCTGCCGACAGGCCCGACGGTCCGCCCCCGGGTGCGCTGGGACCCCTGGCTGCCTCCTGAAAGCATGTCCTGCAGCGATTGCCGAGTTCTTCTACCCACCCCCGTTGAAGTTCCCCCTGCACTTGTGGAACCCATTCAGTGAAAAGGCGGCTTCTATCGGGACCTAATCAAGTCTGGCCTTTCCGACCCCACCCAGTGCACCAATTCTCGGTCGATTCCGGCATCGCCTCAGTCGGGCAAGGCGCCCCGCCGCTGCATGCGCGAGCGTCTGATACCCTTCCCGTCAGACGAAGCAAGCGAAACCCAATTCGGAGGGCCCCCGGGACGAGGTACAGCACAAGCCTCCATCATCTTGCGCACGGCCCAGTCCCTGGCCAAGAAGCGCAACGCATCCTTCGGCGCGCTCTTCCTGGACGTCGCACAGGCCCCCCGCAGGGCCATACGGGAATTAGTGGTCAAGGCACACCGGGATTCGGACCTGGACTATGCTACTATCGCCACCATCGCACGGGCTGCAGGGCCCCCGCCCGACGCCATGCACCGACTCGCCGACCGACTCCGATTCCAGACCCCGGCCCTCACCCGCTCCGACCTCGACCCCCACGTCGTCGCCCAAGTCGAGCAGTGCTATTTAGCACCATGGTTTGTACATGAGTGTTCTGGCCAGGTGTCGATGCCCCAATCGGGGCGCAGTTTTGCAGCGCGCCGGTCAGACGAAGGAGGGTCAGAGGTATCACTCAGAGATATTTCGCACGCAGACGATGGCACAGACACCCTTCTCATGCCCGCGCAGTTTCTGCACGACGGGCTCAGCCGAACCCTAGTTTTGGCATCAGAAGCTTTCGCCACCCGGATACATCTGCTGAACCCTGGACCTACCAAAACAGCAGCGCTTATCATGCGGCGCGGCCCTGGGACCAAAGCCGCGCGCCACTCGGCGCGGCACGAACTCGGAGGCAATATCCTGGGCGATTCCGTTATCCTTGGGACGATCAAAGCACCCATCGTTCATAACTACATCCAGTTGGGATCGGTTTTCGATGCGGGCGCGGTGATGACGCCAGAGATTCGATATCGTGCCTCCTCCTCTACTGCTTCCCCCAAGTGCTACGACGACGAGTCTTTGCGTCCGACGACGTCGACCTCTCGTGCCGTCTTGCACTTGCAGACAGTCTTGCGATGTCCAGCCGACTGTACAATGCAGATGCTCGGCCTGCCCTTAACAGTGTCTGAGGAGCGACTTGCACACGTGGTGGTCATGAAAAAGCATCGTGCAGCTGCGCGTGTCAGTTACCGTGAGGACACATCCCAGGTATCCGATGCTTTGTTTCTTGCCAGACTCCGACGGCCCGACCCCTCCACCCTGGTCCGTGCAGCCCGCGTAAGGCTGCTGGGGTCCCTGGTCCACACAGGCCCTCGGTTGGCCTTTGCAGCGATAGCAGCTGAGTGGGAAACCCTCGACCACGACTCGGTACAACAACAGCGAACCGGCATGGGACCCTGGATTACCGATCCACAGCGGCTGCAGGAGTCTGCGCGACGTTGTGCCGACCTCCCCGACCCCCCCGCCGATTTCGGTGCATGGGAGACGCTCATACAACGCAGTCAACCAGCATGGAAACGAGCCATTCAGATTGGGGTCTGCGCACACACAGCATTCGACAAGCCTCACACTTGCCCAACATGTGGAACGCCAGTTCTTTGCCAATGCGACCGCTGCTGGCGTGCCGGCCAGGGTCTACACCGACGAACGGGGCATGGTCGTCCCGCCACCGCAAGCACCCACACCTACTACGCACACCTGCCCCTGGCGCGGGTTCCAGCACCATCGGCATCGCGCACTACGCGCCCACATCGCACGTAACCACCGCCAGCTCGCTACCCTTGCGCGGGGATACGCATCACCGACAGGGACCTGCACGGCCTGCCTCGACACCTATTGCGCCTGGCCCCATCTTATCGACCCCCTATCGATCGATGCACCACGTTGCTTGCTCGTCGGCATCCTGTCAGGCGACAACCCAGCTTACCACGTCACGCACCTCAACGACCCTGCGCCACGCCCACCTGGCACCACCCCGCAGGCCCACATACCTCGTCGCCACGTCGTCGCGCCCACCTTTCGCGCGCACGGCCCCCTCCCCGAAGTGGCCAGCACGATCGCCGACACTGTCACGCAATCCGCAGCCCGACTGGCCCTCCTCGAACGCGACCCCTACGTCACCGAAACCGCCAAGGATACCCTGCGGCCGCTGCTTCGCCAACATGCCCCACCGCAGCCCCCGGACATCACCTACCCACCACCACAAGTCGAGCGCTACCCCACCCGCATGTGCCTGACCGACAAGTACACACGCACTGCAGCACAGGCACTTCCGGCCGCCATCAAGCGCGCCGAAGTCTTTGTGCTCAACCTCTACTGCGGTCGCCGGCGTGCAGGCGACATTGCAGCATGCCTCGAATGGACGCACTACGATGTTAAGTTCACCCTAGTTGCACTCTCGGTCGATATCGCCACCGATCGCGTCATGGGCAACATGATGCGACGGCAGATTCTGGAGACTTGGAAGGAGCACATACGTGCCAAGCGAATTGTCCTGTCGGGGGGGCCCGCCCTGCGAAACCTGGAGTGCCATTCGATGGGCCGACGATGCTGGCCCTCCACCCCTACGTTCGCACGACCACTTCTGGGGGCTCAAAGCACTTACACCGCGCCAAATGGAACAATTGCGTGTCGGGAACGAGCTCTTGGGTGCAATGATCGAACTGTTTGGGGTCCACCGTGTCGTTGGGACAGCTTGCTGGATGGAGCATCCCATGCCGGCCAGCTGGAGACATGCCGCTGTGAGTTCTTTCTTCGCCCCATACTTGCGAGCGGCGGTGGCAGCGCCCGCGGCCTCTGTGACAAACTTCGACCAGTGCGGGCACGGACAGAGCGCACGTGCACCTACCCGCATCCTTGCGTTGCGCACGCGCACACTGCACGGGCGGCTACTTGAGTCACCTGGGAGAAGACGCTGTTCACATGGGCGTGGGTCACACGAGAGTCTGAAGTGACTATGGTAAGTCAAATAGCATCCGATTCCATGGAAAACGGATGGCAAATAGCGTCCGGTGCCGTACTGCGGTGGTTCAAAAAGGGGAATGGACGGATAAAATGGGATAAAATCGATGTCATGATCTTTCCAGCACATAGCGAACACAAGCAGTGTCCGGGCAAATAGGGCGCGCGTGCCTTGAGCCAA